ACCAACATCAAGTGAGGAAATAGAAGGAGCCATCAAAAGCTTACCAACCAAAAAAAGCCCAGGACCACGTGGATACCCAGCTGAGTTCTACAAGACCTTTAAAGAAGAACTAATACCAATAGTCTTCAATTTATTTCAGGAAATAGAAAAAGAGGCAGTAATTCAAACTCATTCTATGAGGCGAATATCCCCCTGATCCCAAAACCAGACAAAGACACATCAAAGAAAGAAAACTTCAGACAATATCTCTAATGAACATAGATACAAAAATTCTCAATAAAATTCTGGCAAATTGAATACAAAACCATATCAAAAAGATTGTGCACCATAATCAATTGGAATTCATCCCTGGGATGCAAGGTTGGTTCAACATATAAAAATCAATAAATGTAATTCATTACATCAATAGACTTAAAGATAAGAATCATATGATCATCTCAATAGATGCAGGAAAAGCATTTGACAAAATACAGTACTCCTTTATGTTCAAAACACTAGAAAAACTAGGGATAACAGGAACATATCTCAACATTATAAAGGCTATGTATGCTCTATGCTAAGCCTCAGGCCGACATCATTCTAAATGAAGAAAAATCGAAGGCATTCTCTCTAAAAACTGGAACAAGACAGGGATGCCCTCTTTCACCACTTCTATTCAACATGGTTCTTGAAACACTGGCCAGAGCAGTTAGACAGATGAAAGAAATCAAAGGAATATTTATAGGAAAAGAAGAACTTAAATTAGTACTATTTGCTGACGATATGATTCTATACATAGAGGACCCAAAAAAACTCCACCAGAAAACTTCTACAACTAGTAAATGAATCTATCAAAATAGCAGAATATAAAATTAACACCCACAAGTCAAAAGCATTCCTCTATATTGGTGACAAAGCCTCTGAGAAGGAAATGAGAAAAACTACCCCATGCACAAAAACCTCAAAAAAAAAGATATTTGGGAATCAATTTAACAAAAGAGGTGAAAGATCTAAACAATAAAAACTACAGAACCCTAATGAGAGAAATAAAGAATACATAAGAAGGTGAAAAGATCTAACTTGCTCTTGGATAGGCAGAATTTAATGTTATCAAAATGACCATACTTCCAAAGCACTATACAGATTTAATGCAATTCTGACCAAAATCCCAGTGGCATTCTTCATAGAAATAGGAAAGCAATCATTAAATTCATCTGGAAAAATAAGAGACACAACAAAGCTAAGGAAATCCTTAGCAGGAAGAGCGAAGTAGGTGGCATCCCTATACCAGATCTTAAACTATACTACAGAGCAATAGTAACAAAAACAGCATGGTATTGGCACCAAAACAGACTGGTAGACCAATGGTACAGAATAGAGGACACACAGACTAACCCACAAAATTACAATTATCTTATATTAGACAAAGATGCCAAAAACATGCACTGGAGAAAATATAGCATCTTCAACAGATGGTGCTGAGAAAACTGGGAATCCATATGCAACAAAATGATATTAAACCCCTATCTCTCACCATGCACAAAACTTAACTCAAAATGGATCAAGGACATAGGAATGAAACCAGAGACTCTGCATCTAATACAAGAAAAAGTAGGCCCTAATCTTCATCATGTGGGATTATGCTCCAACTTCCTTAATAAGACTCTCATAATATAAGAATTAAAACTGAGAATCAATAAATAGGATGGAATCAAATGAAAACGTTTCTTCTCAGCAAAAGAAACAATATGTGAGGTGAACAGAGAGCCTACATCCTAGGAGCCAATTTTTACCTCTCACACATCAGATAGGGCACTATCTCTAGGGTATATAAAAAACTCAAAAAGCTAAGCACTGAAAAAACAAATAACCCAATAATAAATGGGCCAAGGATCTGATCAGACACTTCTCAGAAGAGGATACACAATCAATCAACAAATATATAAAAAAATTCTCATAATCTCTATAAATTAGAGAAATATAAATCAAAACTACTCTAAGGTATCATCTCACTCCAGTCAGAATGGCAGCTATTATGTATAAAAACAACAATAAGTGTTGGCGAGGATGTGGGGAAAAGGCACACTTATATACTTCTGGTGGGACTGCAAATTATTGCAGCCAATATGGAAAGCATTATGGAGATTCCTTGGAAATCTGGGAATGGAACCAACATTTGACCCAGCTATCTCTCTCCTTGGTCTATACTCCAAAAATTTAAAAACAGCATTCTATAGAAACACAGCAACATCAATATTTAGAGCAGCACAATTCACAATAGCTAAACTATGGAGCCAAACTCGATGCCCTTCATTGGATGATGGATAAAAAATATGGCATATATACACAATGGAATTTTATTCATCAGTAAAAGAGAATAAAATCATAACATTTGCAGGTGAATGGATGGCGTTGGAGAAGATAATGCCAAGTGAATTTAGCCAATCCCCCAAAAACAACTGCTGAATGTTTTCTCTGATATAAGGAGGCTGACTCATAGTGGGGTAGGGAGGAAGAACATGTGAGGAACAGATGAATTCTAGATAGGGCATAGGGGAAGGAGGAAAAGGGAAGCGGCAGGGGACTAGCAAGGATGGTGGAATGTGATAGACATCATTATCCAAAGTACATGTATGAAGACATGAATTGGTGTCAACATACTTTATATACAACCAGTGATATGAAAAAAATTGTGCTGTATATGTGTAACAAGAATTGTAATGCATTACACTGTCGTTTATTTTTTTTAGAAAATCAATTTTAAAAGAATGTAAAAATAAAGTTAACGGGTGAAGTCACAATTCTTAATATTTTTGGCACTAGAGTTCTGAATAGTACCAAAAAATTTTATATAGGTTTTTGTAATGTTTGTAAAGAAATAAATTTTCACAAGAGAACCCTGATAATATCATTCTATTATTGTTTTATTCACTGGCCAAAACCAGATATTCTGTATGAAGACCAAATAGAAGATCATAGTCTCCAGAATTCATGTAGGGTCCACCAAAGCTAATATCTAGATAAGATATTTCTGGATATTAATCCTCAGAGGAGTAACTGCCAAAGTTTTTTTTTATCTTATTTCTTTGCTGAATTTTTTTACCAGCTCTAGACATCTTCTGGTATAGTTTATGGTATCTTCTAAGTTTAGAATCAGAAGAACAAATAGCCAACAAATATATGAAAAATGTTCAACAGCTTTAGCAGTCAAGGAAATGCACATCAAACTGCACTGAGATTTCTTCAATTAGTAAAACCACTTGAAAATAAGTATGGAGTTTCCTCAAAATACTTGTAAAGGAGCCACAATATAATAACTCAGCTATATCATTCCTCAGTGATATAAAACTAAAGGCAGAATACTGTAGCAGTATATGCATATCCATGTTTGTAACAACACAATTCACATTAGCCAAGTAATGGAACCAGCCTAGGTATTCATCAACAGATAGATGGATGGATAGAGAAAATGCAATATATATATATATATATACACACACACACACACACACACACACACACACACA